AAAATATTTGGTTGAAACAAGTTATAAATAATTCAATTATTATTTTAACTGAATCACTATCGCTCATTATTTATAATGAGTCTTTTTGGAGTTTATATAGTGACCATTCCAGTTCAACTCCTCCCGATTATTCATATTTACTGTGTAAAATTAATGTTATGATCAGTTATCCACCCAAATTTTCTTCATGGTCCTTGCATTGGCATCGTCGTCAAGTACCAAAAAAAATCGTTCACAGTTGTATGTACCACGAGCGTTTGCTTTCAATGACTCATGTATTCTATTTGCCATTTCTCCTCGTGCGCGCTTCTTTAAAGAAGAAAACTGTTTCGGCTATTTCTACTAAGGCTTCGCTTACGTGTTCATAGTAGCCCAATTTTCGCAAAATGTGGTCTCCCTCGAAGAGCTTTTATTCTCTGGTTTACATCTACTTAGTGGCAGACGTAACTTCAAAATACATAACAACTTAACAAATTTCACAAAATTTCTACAAGTTTCCCTTTATTCAAACTACGGAAGTAAACCTTTTCATTTTAAAAAAAGAATAAGTTATTTTCATCTTAAATATCAGCATGGTTAACCTTTAATTTCTTTGATTCAGCCTAATCAAGTAATCTACATTCTAACTTATCATCTTTTAATCTATAGTTCTCAGGAATAAGGAAATGTATTAAGCAGTAAATTCAATTTGTAAAATTTTCTTTGTTTTGAAAAAATTTTGCCATTTATTTAAAATAAATCAAAAATTTTATAATTTGGTATAAGACATATTAGAAGAGATTATTAATAATATATGTATAGATCAAAACATTTTGTGATAATTCGAAATTTTTAATTTCTCCTTAATCTCTCACCTAATCACGCGAAAGCAAGTGAATGTGGCTGGAAAATAATCTTCATTTTTTCAAATCCACTATTAATTAATTCACCTTTCAGATTTGGAAGTAGGATTTGCAAACACAGAGTTTTCCTCGACATTCGCATTTATTTATTTATTTATAGAGTGAGTTTCATTTTGTAGTAGAAGGAATATTTAAAATAAATTTAAAATTAAATATATATTAGGGCTTAAATAGGTAAAATCCTCTTTCTATTTGGAAAAGGTTAAATATTTTCATTTATGTCACGATTTTGTGATTGGAGAATGATTTATTTTATTAAACTTGAAACATTTACACAATCATTGCTTACGTGCTTTATGATAATTTTAAGTAAAAAATATCTTTATTATAATTACCTTCTTATTTTTGAACTTGACGTGACTTATCAAATATAAATATGTCTAAAGTGTTTTAAAATTTTGTAGTCTGCAAGATCTTGATACAAAAGAAGATTATAAAGATTA